AATGATTTGTTTAACTCATGGAACCAGGAATTCTGCTCCCTTGTAGAAGATCTTAAAGGAGAATGTTGCCCAGTTAGTTCATAAGTTTAAGCTCAGATGCACATATACAGTGATATCAATTATACCAGGAAGTCCCATTAGGAATGAACAAATAAAATAAGAATAAAAAGTAAACTACAGCTGGGGGATGATGTAAAGTTCATTCTTCATCTAGGAGGCAGGAGCAGACAAGTGTTTATTCTTAAAAACCTCAAATGTGGCTGAATTCAAACAATTTGGTACGAAGGAGTAGGCCAAAAATCCTTTACAGTGAGTTATGCAAAGGACATTGTCCATGCCTGATGGCAGTTATCAACCTGGGAGGCCCAGCTAGTTAGGATAACAATTCAACTGTACAAAACCAGCAAACATTTCCAGACATCTTTTCCAGTTAGACAATAAATGTGAATCTCTCGTCACTTAATATTTGCCACAACAGATTTAAAAAAATATATATTTTTAAACTTTTGGTATGACAGTTTAGCACAAGTCTCTGTATCTTATAACTACCTGACTTGACAACCATCAGTCAAAGTCTGACAGACCACTTTCACAGATGAGCTGTTTTAGACCCAATCTAAATCCTGCTGAGCCATCAAATTAGCTCATCTAGCAGAATAACATACCTGCTCAGCACAAAACTATAAACTTGATCTAAACCGTTTAAAATCCTGCGTCCCACTTTTCAGATTTCTGTTCATGGAAAACATAAAAATGACGACGCGTTGGTCTATCATAAAACCCAGAAAAAAATTAGATGTACGTTTTGGGTGTGCAAACTTTTGCAAGGTAATGCGTTCAATAGGCCGTTCTGCACATTAAAGCTACATCTCTGATCGTCCAATTGCATTGTTTATGTTTAACTAGATTGTGAAAAAACTCCCTTTGTGGAAGAAGTTGAAGTTAAATTAGATTTTTAAATGGCTTTGGTTAGCTTATTTAGCATAGTGTGGTGCAACTTACTAAAACATTCTCTTTCATACAAATATTTCATGACATTAATTCATCAACCCTGCTTTTTTTTGTGCAGAAAGTATAAAATAGTGCTGTGTCCTTGGTAACCAAAGTCCAAATATGTAGGAGGGTTTTTAAACACACCATAGTAATCATATATCTGCCATTCAATAAGAAAATACATACTGTGTTATTAGTTTATTAAACAGTCAATCCTATCCATGTGAAACTGAAAATGTCTTAGTCACACAGAGAAATTATTCTGAAAGGATGCATCAGCTTCTGAACATGGCATGAAAAAGGCCCTTTAAGGCTGATTAATGCATTAACAAATTTCTGGGTAAACCCATTTGGGACTTGTAAAGTTGTTGCTTAGCTCTTCATTAACAGGGCCTCTGACTGTACTATGAATCACTGCCATCAAAATGTCTTCTGCCATCAGCCCACAGTAATGTAATGCGTGACAGCTGTGTGCAAGTATTCATGAGCAGAGCTCACCGGGGCCTGAGGTTACCTCTATGTTGGGTCATTTTTTAGGAGCAGAACGAATCAACATGACCTGATAAGGAGAAAAAGCTATTTCAGGTTTGGATATGAACCCTTCCTTTGATCAGCAGCTCCTATCAGCGCAGCATCCAGTGTACGTTTGCTCAGCGGCGTAGGGAAAGTGCGGTTCCCGCTGGACCTGCGTGCTCACAAGACAACTTCCTGAGGCAAAACAAACATCTTTGTTTGAGATGGGGACATCAAGTTGTCCCCATCTCAGCCTCACTTCAACATCAAATGTTGGAGTTATCCTCCACCCTGAAATTCAAAACATCTGCCTCCAGTTGTGTGCCCTTTAATTCCCACAGGAGCTCGGCTAAAAACAAAACAAGAACTGTCTCCTCTAATAAAGAATAGTTGGCGAGCCCTCTATGATCTTTCTCTGCACTCTTGTCAGTCATAGCTCTGTCCTGGTCTTCTTTGAGGAGAAAATGAAAGAAGATGAGACAGCAGAGAAAAGGGGAAAAAAAGAAAACAGAATTTCATGTGGGCATGCGGGTTAAAGGAAAAACTTTTTCCCCCCTCACGTGGTCATATGTCCATTTTGAGCCTTTAATCTTTTAAAGTTCAGTGGGATAAAAAAACTCTTGAAGCCAGTCAAGATAAAACTATTGCCGTTTCATCTGAAATGGCTGAAGAAGGTAAATATTCAGTTTCCTTCATCTGCTAAGTCAAACCATTTCACCTTAGTTCTCCTTCCCTTTCATATTTTATTTAATTCTTAACTGATCTTGTGGCTACAGAAATCCTGCAAAGAGTATTCGGATGCATTGTTCTTTCAACGTTGTACTGACTGTCCAACAATACAACTCAGTTAATAGACTGACTTTCTGCTTTACAAACTGCATAATTATTGATTTTGACACTTCACTGTTCAGAAATCCTTTAAGCAATTGTGCTGAAGACTTCTGCAAATTCACCAATCAGACAACATTGTGGCCACTGACAGATGGAGAGAATAACAATGATTATCTCTTCAACCAAGCACCTGCTAGTAGGTGGGATATACTCAGACACTTTAGCCAGTTAGAACTCAATTTGCTTAATTGTCTAGTAGTGCTGATGACAAGTTCCTAAAGTTTAAACTGAGCATCAGCATAAGGTAAACAGGGGGTTAAAGTGACTTTGATTGCCTGGCCTTGATGATAGAGAAGCAATAGCAGCTCAAATATGAACCCACTACTAACATAAGCTTTATGATATCTTGGAGAGCACAACACATTGAACCTCAACACAGCAGACCACACCACATCCAACTATCTCAGTGAAAAACATGACCTGGTCCAAGGAGTCTAAATGCAGCTGCAGTATTCAATTAGTAGGATTGGATATTGGTGTAGGCAAAATGAAAACACGGATCAATCCTGCCTGGTACCAACACTTCTTGCTGATGGTGTTCTTGACACGCTTTGGGACTCTTAGTACAAACTGACATCATTTAAAGATCTCTTCTTACCCAAGTATTGTTGGGAACCATGTTTATTCCTTCCCAACCAGAATGTGCCCATCTTTTGCTGCTCCCTTCCAGCAGGATGATGAACCTTTTTACAAAATTCAGATCATCTCACACTAGTCTCTTAAGCATAAAGAGTTCACAGTACCCCAGCGGCTTCCACAGATATCAATCCAACAGAGTGCCACAGGGCTGTGGTGCAACAGGAGATGCACATGGATGTACAGCTCACAAATCTGCAGCAACTGCATAATGCGACCAAACTAGCATGTTTTCAAAGTAGTAAATGCTGAGTCTGATAGAAACATGCCAGAAAACAGTCTTTAGTAACCGTCTGTTGCTGCGTAGCTGAACATCAGCTGTGATGAAGACCGTATTTCCTGATAGTTGTGTCTTTCAGTAGGAAGTGTGCTGCTAAAGGAAAATGGTTTGAAAACTTTGAGGTGTAGACCTGGGAGCCAAATTTTACAGATTTAAATCAAAGAGAATCACTTCAAACTCCAGCATGTGCTACAGCTATGTGCAAACATCTCTTAACATCCTCCCCTTAGAAAATTTGCTAGATCCTAGTACCACACATACTGCAGCAGACCATTAGGGGTCTGTTTGACTGTTTAAAAGGTAGTTCTCATGTTGTTCACTGTATAATCCATAACTGCTGCTTGGACAGGCAGTCTGGAGACCACACAATTCCACATCACATTTCTAATAGCTAAAAACATAGTGTTGAAAACATCTGAACAAAACAGATGTTTTCTTCCTCCAAACACCACTGTACAACATCTCTACAACAGCCAATATGTCAGCTTCGAGTCCAGTGCAATCATTTTCAGCTGGACAAAAAAACAACAGCATGGTTCTGTTCAGTAACAGTTCAGACAGGCAGGTGATGTTGAGGAGTTCAGGTGAGAAATGACAACTAGGTGCTGTAGAAAATGAACACAGCCAATGTGAGACTGCTCTTTAAAGAAACTCAGCGTCAGCTCACTATTAACAAGATGAATAATTAACCTGTGTCTTGTACCTCCAAGTTGAGTTCCTTTCACTGCTGACATATCCTTTGATTCAAACTGAATGTTCTTAATGCACCCTTCACCAGCGGAGCCACAACCTGCAGATGACTAGTTTGAATTCTTGGTTTTCCAAGAGAGCTCATACTCAGGGGGAGAAGATGCCTGATGCAGGAGCTGCAATGAATGCAGGTGAAAACAGCAATGGCTTAAAGTAAAAGCTTAATGTACTCTACTCTCCATTCAGTGCAGGTGTGAATCATCTACCACCCTGAGAGTTGTGATTGGAAGGAAAACAAAGTGAAGCAAAACCTCCGAGTGATAAACTTTATACATTACTCAACTGTCAGGACACAAACAAGCTTGTAATTTTATGCTTTTGTTTTAAATTGTGATGCAGTTTATTCTCATAAGCCTGGAAAACTTGTACAACTGTGAATCAGTTTTAGAACCTGCAGTAAGGGCTTGTCTACATACACACATGCCAAATGTAGGAGTTAAACATTTGTACCCTTTAGCAACTTAAACAATTTGTGGTTGAAACTTTCAGGCATCTTATCCAATATGTCCCTTATTTCAGTCTCTGGACATTTGTCCAGAGGACAATAGGAAAACAATGATATACAACTGACACCTAGTGGTTAAAATGAGTACGGCAGTAATCAAAAGCCAGCAGCTGTGTATTGAGATTTCCACAAACTTCATTTCACTGGATATAGATTTAGATCTTGTAGTAAAACTGTGGATCTGGGAAAAGAAAGGGAAAAAAAAAAAGGAACTTGACATTTCCCACAGAAAATCAAGTTAAGCCTGGAAATTTGTAGCAATGTTGTCAATCAAACAAAGGCCAATTGTAGATTAGACAAATGCATCAATCCATAAAATAAAATGAAGCTACATGATTTATTTGGAGCTTCAGCTGCTTTCAGGAAAGAAAAAACACCCAGCCAATGTTCTTGCAGATGAGCAGTGAAATGAACAAAATAATCACAATGTCTACTTCTGTATTGAACAGGTTTAATAATTATCACATCAGTTTCAAATCAACAGTCCAGTTCTAAGAGAAATGTGTCAACACAAAGTTTAAACAAATTTAACTTTAAAACTTACCCTAAACACAGAATTCCCTGTGTTTAGGGAATTCCATAAGGATTTAATCCAAATCCTTATGGATTTGGATTAAATGTAAAGTGGTGAAATGATATTTTCTTGACTAGCAATACACTGATATACAAGATCCATTGTTCTGTTAATATTGCAAATACATCCTCATAAAATGTAGTAAACAATATACTGGCTCTTCATATCACATATAGTCTGTCTCGATGGATTTTAAAGCCTCCCTCTATTGAGATTATTCTCTGTTCCTCAATAAATTTTAAGTCATTTTATTGCCCGCAAACAAGTGCAATACAATTTTGCTCGCAGTATTTCTTGTGAAATGTGTTAATCAAAATTCCAATATACCACCCAACCAGAAGCGTTCTTGTATTATGAAACCTGTCTGGCTGACAAAAGCAAAGCGCAGACGTTTAAGTGTGGTGGCCGCTGATGCAACACAATCCCTCAACCTGCAATCCTCCTCTGACAAACTCTGTCCCCTCCACAAGAACACAAAGATACGACTAGCTGGATTACAATGTCACATTAAGAACTGTTGCAGTATGACATTCAGCAAAGGCTTCACCGTTTTTTTACCTCAACAAAATGTCTTATGGCAGAAACAATTTTTTATCATAGAATAGCAGCAGAACAATTATTGCAAACAAAGCTGAAAACCCTCAAGCTTTAGTCTTCCTGATGTTTCCCTTAAGTTGTTCATGTTGTCCAGAACTTCAGACACGTCGCTGTGAATCATGCCTTCAACAGTCTGCCAATGAATACAAGTGAAGGGATAAGTTTAGGGTGAAAAACAAAATCCACCAAAAAACAGCTGCACTTGTTTATATACTGACCATTTGCAAAAGAAATCTTTTAAAACGTTTTGGAAGTGATCTTTATCTCACCTGTGGAACATGGTGGTCCGGTTGCCTAGCAATCTGTCGTATGAACGACTCAGACAGCAGGTTTTAGATAAAGGGAGTCTCTAAACCAGAAAGAAAGAAAGTATTGATGAAGCCTGAAAAACAAAGTTAACTTCCAACAGGATTTAGAGTTACAGCTATAAAAAAAATATAATTAAAAAAACACGTTTTATCAATGCTATTAAATGGGAGATAATTATTTTGTCCAATTGTTTTCACTCAAAATACTACAACTAAAAACTAATTATGACAAGACTGACATGATTAAGGTTTGGTTTCAATTTGGTTGAAAGATTCATCAATTTTTGCATAATTAAAAGAAAACATAACATTGCAATGTTTTAAGGGATGAAGGCTCCATGTACATCACTCTGGTCTTTAGCTCCATACACAGATCCTCTCACTGATTCAAGGAATAACTCAGTCACTTCCAATTACAACCAACATTTTGGTGAAAAAAAAAAAAAAACATTTCATAAACCTCTACCAGGGTTATGAATACATTTATGCTTTGTTGCTTTCCATTTTTCACAAATAAACAATGTATCTGCTGACTGTACTGGATTATAATTTAACTTTGTCTAAATAAATCTAGAATGTGTTAGATTTACAGAAACTGAGAACGAGCTGAGCTGTTACCAACTTGAAGGCCTCAAAATGCCTGTTTGCTTAATTATAACTGAAATAAAACAGAACAACTTCCAAATATACATTTGGTGGATGGAATTATATACACTAAAGGACAAAAAAAAGCATCTTAAGATATTTTTGCAAAAAAAAAAAAATCTGAGCAACAAAATGTAATAAAAGTTACTTGTCAAATGCTACTTTTGTCATAGCATTCCAATACTCTAGTAGAATTCCAATATCATAACTTGTAAATACTAAAAGTGTACACATCTCCTTTTTAAATGTTTTTTTTTTGTTAAAAAAAAGATGATTATTTTTAATAGTATGAGCTATTTTAAAAAGGTTAACTTCCTATTGTATCTGTTTAAAACATGAGTAAAGTATCTTCATGCTTACCAGCATTGAAACTCTTTAACCCAGACTATAAAGGACACTTGATTAACTAAAAATGTTCCATCACACAGCTACTTCTTCGATCTTCTTCCTGGTGAAAAAAACAGCAATGAAATCAGATAGAAAGAAATGAACTATGACACCACAACCTACAACATGCTATTTTCTATTTTTCTCCCACGGAGAGGCGACTCAGATGGCCCCTGTGCACAATAGATGTCAACACATTGTGTCAGGACAGGCCTGCCGTGCCACTGCAACAGCAACCTGGGTAATAGTGCAACTCATCACTGCCACCTCCGCAAGGATACTCAAGACACAGAGACACTTTGGTTATCAGAACATTTTACTTCATACAAAAAACAGCAGCAAAAAAAAAAAAAAAAAAAACAAAACCAACTATACCAATTTTTAACTTTAGAGTGATTTGATGCTTTCCAGAATATAAAGCTCCACATTTGTAAAAAGTGATTTCATTAAGAAGTTGAAGGAAATTGGAAAATTGGCCTCAAGGCCTTCAGTTTTTCTGAGCCATAAATAAGTACTCATTGATAAGTTGATTTAATTTGCATCATGAATTGCCTCTGTAACACTTCCAAATTGAAAAAAAAAAACAAACAAAAAAACTGTTGAAACAACTCATTTGACTAACACTTCCACATAGTTAAACATTTTACCTTCCTAAAATAATGATCCAAGTCATTTTCAGCCAAAAGTGATTTTTTTTTGTCTGTCTGGTCATTATTTAAGGAAGATGAGGATTTACAAAAACCAACTGGCTGTAAAATAAACAGAAACTGTAAATCACAGACAGAAGAAGTATTTTAAAAGAATTTCCAGCTCCTATAAACTTGAGAAAATGTGGAGATTAAGGATCCTACTATAAAGTAACAGTTGAATATTCGCCATTAATTTCTGGGAATGGCACATCGAAGTTCTAAAGAAAACAAAGTGACTGGAGGCACACTGAACACTTCAGAGTTTTGAGGATGTCACACACTTCATCCTTCAGTTTTACCTCTCTCATATAAAGAGAATATTTAACTCCTACAGACCTTTAGAGACGAAGACGTTCCAGTTCAAGTCTGCAGAGCCGAGCCTTTGAATCTTCACAGGATTTTTCCTTTTGCTTCCCGACTCCATAAGATTAAAAGATGTTCCAAGAAAATTAACAAAAAAGTAATAAATTAGTTTAGCTCAGTGTAACATTAAAAGTAGTTTAAATGATGTCAAAAAAATGCTTGAGGAAAACAGATTCCAAACACATTTGTTAAATAAGATCCCTGTTAAAAATGTATATAAACAGGATCATTATGTTTATATGCTTTTCTTTTCTGTAGTTTACATTAATTCTATGTGAAACGAGAAAAGAAAAAAAAAAACTGCCTGAGGCTACAGAGTGAGAAACCCATTATTCTAAGAGCTTTACAGAAAAATAAGAAAATAAATTGCGCAAATTGTTTCAAGTTAAACATATAAAGATACTGAAGAGTAAAAACACTTAAGAGTTCCTTCTGAGAGGGGAAAAGAAAAATCCCTTTCCTTAAACCTCTGGGGGAAGCATACAGCAGCACTTTGAAGCTTCAGTCTCTGACAAAAACAGCTTACCATAAAACACTATGCAAGTGAAGGGAAAAAGGCTTTCTGTAATGGATGCTTAGGCCCACAGAGAGCCCTGATCTCAACAATAATAAATCAGGCTGGGATTAGACAACGAGACAGAAGCAAGAGATACTAACAAAGCAAAACCATTCTTTGTAATAAAGTTTTGAAATTCTGCAGATTAATCAATCACGTGAATAAATTAAGACAAAACTTATCAAGGAAACATGTTCAAATATTTATACATCTTTCGTTTCTCTTCATGGATGGGGGGTGTAGTCAGATGGCCCCAGCGCACATTTTGTCTCCTCATATCGGATCGGATTGGGATGCGCATGCCGCTGCAGCAAACACCCCAACTGATTAGTGCAGCTCATCACTCTCACACCCACCATCCCGTTGATTTGATCTTGTAGAATTTGAGCCCATTTTGTTTGTACCTTGAACTCCAATTTAAACCGACGGGACGCCTCATCCATTCAGCGCAATCCACCATGACTGCTACGAAACACTTTTCTTACTCCCGAGGCAAAGTTTCTAGTAGCGTCTGTGAACAAATAAAACAAGCAGGTCAGCTAATGACGATGAACAGAGTAGAAGGGTTTAATAGTTAATGTCACACAACAAAGTCTGATTAGGGAGGTAAAATATCCGCTAAATTAATAGGTCATAAACTTACGAAAGATTATAAAACACGAGGTAGCCGAATTAGCTTAAGCGCTAGCAATCTAATGAAGCAAACATTTACTTCAACATAACAGTTCTTGCCCAAAACCTACTTAAGTTTAAGATATATACATTATCTTGAACCTACGAGTCTACTGACGTTATACTGCAACTTTGAAGCTTAAAAAACGGGAAATTTACCTGCTTTATCAGTACAGCGTGCCTCTTTCATTTTAAACCACATGGCTAATCGGTTCAAACCAGCTCGAGCCTTCTTCGCCTTTCTGTACAAAGCGGCTGGCAAACAACTTTTAGATGAATTACCGCCACCTAGCGGAAAGAAACCTGAATCAGAAGGCGTTTTAACCATGCACCCTTACTGATGTTCGCTTTCCTTAAAAATCCAGGCACATATTTGAAGACGGATTGCCTTAAATTATCCAACTACAAGCTCTTCACCATGTTGTAGGTTCTTTTATTGGACCGATAATAGTTTTCAAACTCTCACCAAAATCCCGCTGGTTCGCCATCTTGCTCGCGAGAATACGTAATTTTTCGGTTTCTTTGATCGCCCAAATTTTTATACCGCAACTAGATAAAACGTCGTGAAACTTTCCAATAACGTGATTTTACCTACAATTACCTTATTATGCATATTTTCTTACAATATGCAACATTTCGTGCAACATTATATTTTCTTCAATTCAATATAAAAAATATTCTACCATTTTGAAACTGCATCAAATTTTAATCTATTTAAATCTTTTTGGAACCAACATGCAGTGGT